TATTGTCGGTTTTGATCACAAAAGACCGACTCGACTAAGTCTTCAATTCTTGATCTTGTCCTTGAGTCTTTTAGGTCTTGTTCCAAGCCATTCTTCACGCCTTGAGTTATTCAACGAAACTCTTTATATCCACGGCGGTTTGGCAATTATCAAAACCTGTCAGAAATGAACACGACTTTAGTTTATCGTACAAAGTGTGTTCCAACAATTTCCCCCTTTTTGATAATGGCAAACAAGATGGGGATATGCATAAGGCTTTGATCTTTTTAAAAAAATTCCCCTTAAAAAAAATTCCCCCTTAATATATGCATAGCCCTTATCTTCCCCCTTTTGACATTAACAAAAAGATTGTTAACAACAAAAATCATAAAGATTTTTATTAATTAATTAAGGGAAATAGCGGAGTACATAACGAAAGCATATTAAAAGATGATAAAATAAGGAAGAGAAGAAAGTAGAGCTAGAGCTCTAGAAATCCGGGGAAAGATAATTGAGAAGTTGTTCTTCGTCAATGTCTTCTTCTTCTTCATCTTCATCACCATCGCCATCATCATCATCATCATCATCGTCTTCTTCTTCTTCCTCTTCTTCTTCCTCTTCCTCATCGTCCACCTTGTCATCTCTACCAACGTTTTGAGTCCCACTTTGTTCACCTCCGAAATTCGGTGGAGGAACGTAAGGGACCATTTGAGCGTACGGGTAATTGACAAAGTCAAAATACCCGTGAAGTTCACGGCTCAAAGTATTGACGTTGTGTGTCGTTTTGGAGACGTTGGTGTCAATCCGAGAGAGAGAGTGACAGTTAAGGCTCCCATTTGCTCGGCGAGAGAAGGATTGGTCGAAGTGGTGGCGGCTGAGGCAGTGGCTCTCGGTTGGCGGCGTGGACAAGGCTGTCGAAACGGAGTCTCGTCGGTGCCCGATTGGAAAGAGGATTCATCAATCTCCCAATGCTTTGTCCCCTTTATCTTTGGCCTAACATCGGTTTTGATGTTATATTCTTCAAGAATCGCCATGACAAGGAGGGTGTAGGGGAGCGGCCGATTGTCGGAGGTGGCTGTGAACATGTGAGTCATCACAAATTTAAAATAATTGAGATTGACGTTGTGAATCATCGCATAAATTGTCTTCGTGTCCTCCTGGGAGAGAGTGGTGTGATTGAACTTCCTAGGTTTGAGAATCCGTGTCAAAACATAAAAGATGAATCGAAACACAGGACTCATGGAAGCAATCGTAGGGCGCCGCTGTTGGGGAGTGGGTACAAAGTGTCGGATGCCCACTTCCTCCAAGAGAGCGGTCTCGTTGAACCGTGCTCCTTCTTCTCCAACGTAGAGCCCGAGATCCTGTCCATCCCGACGAAGCCCGGTGAGGATTTGAATGTCCTCCTCATTCAAATAGATGTCCACCCCGTTGACGTTAGAGATCAATGCTCCGTCCTCATTATTTTTCAAGTTCGAGTAGAAAGCTCGAACAAGAAAGGGTTGATAATTGACCTTCTTAATGTAGAGGAGATCGAGGAAGTTTCCACGTTCGAGGATAATCCGTGCCTCACGTGGAATGGAGTCATGAATGAAGCGGGCGGTGGAGAATCAGGGAGGGAGAATCTCCTGGTGCTCAAATTTCTCTGAGAACCGCGTCACCTCTTCGTGGTCGTTGAACCAAAGGAACGACCCGTCGAGGTACTTGTGCGCCGGTGGTGGAGGAGCCGAGGAAGAAGCCACGTTCTTGCCGGTGCGGGAACGCTTTCCTTGACCGCCTTGAGTTATTCAACGAAACTCTTTATATCCACGGCGGTTTGGCAATTATCAAAACCTGTCAGAAATGAACACGACTTTAGTTTATCGTACAAAGTGTGTTCCAACAAATTTTGCTCTCTTATCTTGAGGACCTTGTGTCTCATCCTCTTGAGTTAAATGCGATATGAAGTCCCCGTATACATCCCCCTGTAGTGGAAATTGTGTGCTAGGAAGTTGTGTCGTCATTTAAGCAGTGGGGGGTGGTGGGTACCATGTGAAGAGGACGCCCTGTTACTGAATGGTGGGTACCATGTGAAGAGGATGTTGTAAAGAATGATGTCCCTATCTCGTCTCCCTCGGGTTTATGTTGGTGGAGCTCTGGGCTAGGATCGAGAATATATGCCTCAACCTCATCCTGTATCTCTTGGTCCTGACGTTGCCTTCGGGGGGAACCCTGCACCGTTGCTTCCCGACGTCTATCAGGACGCCTATGTATCACCCCAGGCTCGTAGGCTTGAACTTAAACCGGATGAGATAAGATCTCTCCAAATCTGGATTCACAGATGGACTGCACTGCCTGATGATGCACGTCTTGCTTGCACAAATGTGTAGAGGTCCTTACCTTGTTCAGGTTGCTCTACATTTGTTCGCTGTGAAATTTCCAGCAAATTGTAAAGTTGTACATATAAAGAAATTTTTTTAAAATAAAAAACACTATAATTTATATAATTTAAAAATATTACGAATAAAGGCTAGTGCATATCAGGCAATGAACGTCCAGATTGACAAGGACATATCCAGTGACAAAAACGTGGTCATGCATCGGGTTGCATATAATGCATATACCATGTAGGTAATACCACTGTTGATATGCATCAGTGTATCCGTGATGATCAAGTTCAATCTCCACAACACTCTTATTTCGGACTTCCCACTCATCTAGAAAATGCGTCGTCCTAGAAGCCATGGTCCCTGTGGTGGTCCTGACGGTGTGCAACTCACGATCATAATCCACGGCCTGAAGGATATCCTCGAGTCTAGCGAAATGGAGATAGAACCGATACGGGTAATACATCTCCACCATATACGATTATATCAACGGAACATGTGCATACCACATTACGAGCCTGGTGATGCAATGAGGATGCAAATGTTGCGGACTGGGGTATGGCATCCAAATGAAATGTATAGAAAAGAAAATAAAACAATTTATAACCATAATTCGATTAATATAACAAAATGGGAATAATAGAATGGATTGACTATATCTCTCTTTCCTGTAGCCTGTCTAATTGGTCCCTGTAAGACGAATGAAATGAGACGATGAAATTGTCCAACGATGATAACAGAACCACGTGTGAAGAAAAATATTAAAGATTAAGTACAACAATTGTATTGCACATCTAATTTCTTGCACGGTGTGCTACGCCCTATTTTGTCTCACGGAGCTGTACACCACCCAGTTGTATTGCACATCTAATTTCTTCTGAATGAAGTTTTGTTTTTTCTGTCAAAAAAAAAGTACTACAATTCTTGAATAATGGTAAAAAAGAATTCATAGATAAAATTACTCGGCCCCATACAGTACATCTCTCCCATATTCGAGTGGAACTACGCCCTTTGGTCTACACATCGGGATGCACTCTCATGCCCAAATCTATATAAGAATGAGAGGCCCGCTGATTTGTACAGTCTCCGATAGAGCTGCATGACACAAATTACTGTAAAGGCAAGCCAATGCCTCGATACCTATAGCGGGACTTCGCACATCTTGCACCGTCCCAACGATCAACTCCAAATGTCACAAGTTCACCTTATTACCCGTCGTGCTAGAGAACATAGCACCACCCATAATCTTCAACATCAAGGCCCGGGCATGCTACAAAAAGTCGACCTCCCACTATGATCACCAACAGGAATGAGTACGATCACATTCATTCTGATCTACGTCTTGCTCAAGTCCTCTAAAGATGGCCTAAACCTCATCGTATCATCATAAAATTGCACCCAATACTCTTTCGTGTTGCCACATGAACCAACAACAGCAGTGCCATCTACGGGGAGACTAAGTAGGACCTCTACATCCTGTAATGTGATCCCAACCTCTTCTGTCTCCATCTCTCGACTAAGGCGGTAATCAAAACCCATTCGATTTGTAACTTAGCAATCCTTTCTACCCCGTAAAATCCATAATCATGCAAATTCTCCACAACTTGTGAATGACGCTCCACACCAGACCCTTCCCTCAAGCTACCAAACAATTAACATATTTCACGGTACATCCCCAAACTCACGATCTTGCCACACCCTATCACAATGCTGTTCGTCGGGTGCCAAGACTAGTTTATCATGGGCAATTGGTTTCGGATGGACGTTCGTTCTTTGAAAATTCATTTTTCTACAAAATTAAAATTTTTAGTCTATGAATACGGCAAATCAAAAATATGCAATGCACTACGAAAAATTCAAAAATATATCACAAATTTTTTTTAGTTACTTCAACATATATTTTCGGATATCTCATAAACATTTTAATTTTCTAAATTCTAAATTTAGATCTAATCTAATTAACCACTCTCTCCGTCTCATTAAGTGTTACCCGTTTTGACTTTTTAGCAAAATAAGGGGACCAATTCTTTGCTTTGACTTCCCCACTTTACCCCCAACCCTAATCAAAAAGTAGAAATCCAATCAACTCATGAATAGTGTAAAGCATAATTTTATAGTAAGTGGAGTACTCATCACATTAAATACGACAGGGCAATAGTTACCAAATCAACTGCCCATGTCTCAAACAACAGGGATTACATTCACCATCACCATACATTACATTCATTAAATGTGTTTAAATGGGTGAACGTTTTTGGGAAAATTTGATATTCCCTCCAAAACACCCCTCCAAAACCAAAAAAAAGAAAATTACAACTTCATTGAGGCACACATATTTAAATGAATGCATTCATTTCACCTATCTTCTTCACTTTATTACCCTCATCTTCACTAGCCTTGTTGCCTTCAATGCCCCCTCCCGAGCAGCCTTCTTCACCTTCCTCTTTATCAACACATGACTCCTCATCATTGGACCATCTACCCGTTGTTATAGAAGTCCCCTTTGACAACCTTTTCACCCCTGAAACAGAAATAGAAACATAAGCACAGAGTAAAGGAGCTCAACTTAATCAAAAAAGAAAAAGAGTTGTTGATGTTTTACTAGAAAAGTCTAAGGATGGCAAACTTCAGCACGGTTTAATCAACAAAGTTGCTGAGGAATTCAGTTTTACAAGGAAAACTGTGAGCAACATTTGGCAAATTGCTAAAGCACAATTGGACTCTGGTCTACCTATTGATGTTCAATGCAATTGGAAAGGAATTTGTGGTAGAAAAAGGGTCCCTGTAGACATGGAAAGAATGGCAGCAATCCCTCTGTTTAGATGCAAGAACATACGTGCACTTAGCTTTGCTATGGAGGTTTCAAAATCCACAGTCCACAGATGGCTAAAGCGCAAAGATATAAGTAGACATTCAAGTGCTATAAAGCCATACTTATGTGAGTCAGGTAAGCAAAAAAGACTCAAATTCTGTCTTGACCATATATCTCCTCAATCACTCCCCATTAGCCCAACTTTTCATGATTTTTATGATCACACTCACATTGATGAAAAATGGTTTGAAATCACAAAAAAACACAACATTCTATGCTCTGCCAGAGGAACCTGACCCCAACAAAACCACTCAAAGCATAAGCTTCATACCAAAGATCATGTTCCTGGCTACAGTTGGCAGGCCAAGGTATAGGGAGGGTGAAGATGTGTTATGGGATGGGAAAATAGGAATTTTCCCATTCACTTTTGAATAGGCAGCTCAAAAGTCTAGTAAATACAGGCCTGCAGGGATATTGGAAACTAAGGCTGAACCAACTGTCAATAGAGATGTTATGAAGAGAATGTTACTGACTAAATTGTCACCTGCAATTAAGCAAAAATAGGATGGGTCATCAAGGGATATTATTATCCAACAAGATAATGCTAAGCCTCATGTGGATGGCAATGACCCTGAAATTGTTGCAGCTGCTCAAGAAGGGGACTAGAACATTCAACTAAAATTCCAGCCCCCCAACAGCCCTGATCTAAATGTACTTGATCTAGGATTTTTTAGATCCATTGACTCAGTACAAGACCAAACAGCTCCTAGGTCATTGACATACTTGGTTAATGTTGTTACAACAGCCTTTGAAGAACTATCACCTGACAAACTAAACAATGTCTTCTTAACTCTACAAGGGGTGATGGGTGAGATACTCATTAACAATGGAGGAAACCAATTCAAAATTCCTCATATGGAAAAAAGTAAGTTGGCCAGACCAGGAATACTACCACAGAATTTGGGAGTAAGCACAGAAGTGTATGAGAATGCACAAAAGTTCTTGACGGAACATATGTAAGTACTTGATGATTAAGTACTTTTTTGTTGTGTGTGCAAAGATGGCCAAGGAAAGGTACAATACATATATGTACTTCCAAGTGAACCTTTTGCACATTCTTTTTGCTTTTTGTTGGCCTAGAAGGCCATTTTTTGTTTTTTGTAAAAGTATATCATATTCTGATCAAGTGTAGCATACAATAGGGACTGCACATTTTTTGCTTTTTGTAAAAGTATATCGTGAAGTGTATCAAGTGTAGCAAAGGTTTATTGAAACGAAGTGTATCAAGTGTAGCAAATGTATCAGACAGAGGTAACACATAGAATCAGACAGAGGCAAGTGTTCAAGTGTAGGAAATGAACCATAGAATAAAGTGTAAGACTTGTCCTAAGCATTGTTCTTTATAAATTATTTTAAGAATCAAGTGTACCAAATGAACCAGAGAATCAGACAGAGGCAACACATTCAAGTGTAGGACCTGTCCTAAGCATTGTTCTTTATAAATTATTTTAGGAATCAAGTGTAGGAAATGAACCAGAAAATCAGACAGAGGCAACACATTCAAGTGTAGGACCTGTCCTAAGCATTGCTCTTTAGAAATTATTTTAGGAATCAAGTGTACCAAATGAACCAGAGAATCATACAGAGGCAAGTAAATCAAAGTTTGTGAATCAAGTGTAGGAAATGAATCAGAGAATCAGGGCAAGATATCCAATCAAGTCCATGTTTAGTGTAAAACAAAATATTATAGCAAGTGGAGTACTCATCTCATTATATACAGCAGGGGTACTCATTCAAAATCAACTGCCCATATGTTTCAAACAGGGAATACCTTCACCAATTCACCATCAAACCTCAAATTGTCACCACCAAGCCCCTCTCACAGAACAAAAAATATGGTAGACCAGACCAATACAGTTTTGTAAGTCTCCAACCCATAGGGGGTGACATTACAATATAGCTAAACCCAAAAAAAGCTCACAGACTTCCAATCATTCACACAAAGTTTGTTTGCATCATAAGTTTGCCAATAAACATTATAAAGAGTATATAATTGGACATGCAAATACTAATCGTATGTGAATCTAAAGAGGAAGAACATAATACTCTGTTTGAAACGCAGTGCTTTAGCCTCATCTCCATAAGGCTCAGCGAAAATTATTTCTGTATCAGACATCTTCAAGATTTGGGCAGCAGTTACTGATTCCTAATCTTCCCCATCAGATTCGACACTGCCTCTTTCATCCTCAGGCGGAAAAAAGTCACCCCAAAATATTTTTCCGATACCACCACGTCGGATCTATATCATCCGTGCCAGATGCGCTATCACCAAAGTCGTATTTAGGGATCAATGATTTTTTAGATTTAGGAGTTGGCTGGGGAGATGCCCTTTCATCTTCGCTATCGCTTAAAATCTTGAAGGAGGGCATGGTAGGGTCGCGAATCACCATTTTTGGTGAATTGTTATGGGAAGGAGGTATGGAAGATATACATCTGATGATTGAGGGTCCCGACGGCGATGGGAAGGTGAACGGCCACAGAGAGATGGATAGAGGAGAGATGATGAATGGATGAGGGGATGGGTAGGTTAGAGCTCATACGGTAGGTGAGGTAAGAGGGTGGGTGTAGAAATTAGGTTTAAGGGTAGGAATGTCTTTTTTAGGTAAATGTGTAGATCTTTATGGGACAAAAATTTTATGAAATGTATAAATCTTTTTTGGACGGAGGGAGTAATAATTAGATTATATGGAGTATAAGTTTAAATTAGAGATTTTCGAAATAAATTAAAAAAACGGTAGAATGGGTACCGTTAACCGACGAACGACGACAGAGGCTGCAGTTGGCGACGGACTGTGAGGGACGGTTGGGGGTGATGTTCCCTCTTCGCTGCTCCTGACCTGTTTGAGTGTGTAAAAATGGGGTTTGGATGGGGGAAGATGGATGGTCAGCCACCTGTAATAATTTTTTTTAGCTTAAGGGTAGAGGTTGTACCGTTAAACTTTGATTTACTTTGACATGCAGTGAATGGGAATGCTTTTGTATTTCCCTCATCGGGAATTAATTCCCCAAATGGTGAGGTACCTGCAAACATTTCCCATCAGCATTGATGTTTATGTGTAATTGTGCGTATTTTGTTTTCTTTTTACATAACGGGAGTAAGTCTACCGTGATAGTGTGGTGTTTATGCATTTTATCCCTTTAGCCATCATTAGTCTTTTAGTCCGTAATAATAATAATAATAATAATAATAATAATAATAATAATAATAATAATAATAATAATAATAATAATAATAATAATAATAATCATAATAATCATAATAATCATAATAATAATTTCATTGGATAAAATAAAATATTCTTGTCACCTCTTATTTTATAAAATATACTATTTAGTTTTTAAATATAAAATTTTTATTTTTTAAATTTTTAAACAAAATAAATTTAAAAGTCAATACATTTTTCGTGTTAATCAAAGAAAGTAATTTAATTAGGGATAAAAGGAGTAATTAAATGATATGCCAGAATTAGACCAATTTTGGTACATCAATAAGGAATAAAAAAACTACATCAAAAGTTTACAAATTTTTGTACCAATTTCACAAATTTGTACATGAATAAGAAATAAAAATTAATTATTAGAAAACTACATCAAAAGTTCTGCAAAATAAGATATGACAGAATATTTAATTTTATCAAATAATCATTGAAAACACACAAATAAACCACCGTTCTCGTACTGTAACACCTTAATTCATCCAGGTTTGTAGCCTTTTTAGACTAATGAATTAACTTGGTAATCGTAAAATTTAAAACATTTCAAAAACTTTTATTTCATCACAAAATACTTATAACAGAAACAGTAACAAAGGTTTATCAAATTGAAGAAGCTTTAAAGAAATAGTTTCACATCACAATCACAAAATATAAAGAATTCATGTCTTTAAATTTAGGAAAAATTATCTCAAATAATCCCACCTTTTAGTACTCTTTCAAAAATAATCCTACTTTTCACTCTCACCAGAAATAATACCACCTTCCCGCATGTGTGCGAGTTTTGGGTCGCCGTTAAAAAACTAACGGTCACTTAACGGAAATTTTGAAAAATGCCTGTTTTTCGCAAATAAATGAAAGGTGGGATTATTTTAGGTAAATTCTCCCTTTTTCATTTTTTAATTTCTTTAAATGTATTTTTATTTTATTTTTTTGGAAAAATACCAAATTTAAGTGTTTTTAAAGTGAAACTAATTTTTTTTTTCAATAACCAATAATATGGTAATAATTAGAAAATAAATTATTCTACACAATAGAGCTAATTTATTAACTTCATAACTAACTACTCCCTCCGTTTGGAAAAAGTGTTCCTCTTTTGACTTTGTGTAAAAATAAGGAAGTATTAAATTGTAGTTGATTTCCAATTTTGCCCTTGATGTGATAGGTAAAAGTAAGATGTGATGGATAGATTATTAGAGATAAAGTATGATGTGATAGGTATGGTATGAAAACGTAAGGGTAAAAGTGGTTTTTTAATAGAAAGTAGAAGTGTTTTGTTGGAAGGAAAAAAAATGAAAGAGGAAGTGTTTTTTGATAACGGAGAGAGTACATTTTTTTGTAAGTTGCATTTACTGTATTTTTCTTGAGCTGCACTTCAAATTATTTTTTGATACTACATTATTATTATTTCTTTAAAAAATGGCACTACAAAACTTATGAATATTTTTCGATAGTTCTATATAAATATTTTTTGTGAAACAACATTACAGTAGTTGTGAAAATAGCACAACAATTTTTTTCTCTAAAATAGAACTTTTATTTTTATAACTCACTACATTTTCTGATGTATTGCAATTTTTCCATGAACACTCTGAAATATTTATTGATAATCTTATATTGCAATAAAATTTTCTTTCTAAAATGGAACTACCCAATTTGTGATTTTTTTTAATAATTCAATACAAATTTTTCCCCAAGATAGTAATTCAAAAGTTGTGAATCACTACAATTTTTTTATTGTAATTTCTTTCTTGATCGATACTCTGAATTATTTTTGATAATTCAATACTATATTTTCCCAAAACAATTAACAAAATTTGTTAATCGTTAGACAAATCTCTAACAAGAGTGTATTGTTATATTTTTAAAAATATTAATTTTAAATTCAAAACTAAAAAAGTAAAAAGTAAATTTTTCTAAAATAATCCCACCTTTCATTTATTTGCAAAAAACAGGCATTTTCAAAAACTTCCGTTAAGTGGCCGTTAGTTTTTTAACGGTGACCCAAAACTCGCACACATGCGAAAAGGTGGGATTATTTTCGGTGACAGTGAAAAGTGGGATTATTTTTGAAAGAGCGCGAAAAGGTAGGATTATTTGAGGTAATTTTTCCTTAAATTTATTATTAAATATTAAATCGTTCTAAACCATCACAATCCATCCCTGACATCTCATCCCCGTTCACTACCAGGATCATATCACATTATTCTTTTTGTTTATATGTGTGTAACAAATAAAACATACTACGCACTCAGTAGTGAAGCTGAGTAAGGATATTTAATGCATCGAACATTCACATAAATTGAATCTCAATTCATAATGAAATCATTTGAAATCATGCACATAATATTTAGTTTAAATATTTAATATTCATAATGTGAACCGTGTTATTAAACTATTTGTAGTCTATGGACAAATCATAACAATACTCTTAAACTATTTTCAGTCTAAGGCCAAATTCATATTGATCACAAGCTTTTAAACTATTCTTAGTCTAAGGAAAAACACAAGAACTGATGACCTATCCTACAAGTCATATAGGCGATGCTCAAACCGAACAACGGATTACTCACTGTCAGGTGGGTGGTATCCCCAAACGAGTTATCCTCTAGTTTTCTTTGCAGATCTTGTATATACGTTTTTACCCAGGCCACCAGACATCTTACCTGCAAGACTCACACTAATTAAGTCACATGGAGTCTATCTTAGAGTTTTCTAGATAACCTTAATAATCAATATCATTTTCATAATCATCAATTTAATCAAGATATTTATCTTTAATCATGGTTTAGTGTTTAGTAGGGGTGAGTAATTAGCCCCTATAAGTACCTTTGTAGCTCTCAAATAAAGGGGGTCCAAACTTTATCTTTTTAGAAGTGTATTATGTAATTCCTTCATGTACTCTTCCAATAATACTTGATAACAATTAGATTACAGGTGCCCACACCTACAGTCTTCCTGGTCAATTTCTATTTCTCGAGTTCTTTCGGTTTCTAAACTTAATAAAGCACCCTAGACTCGGTCTAAAGTAGTTTATTCGGGTGATAATTCACACCATCAGAAGCGATAAAGTACCAAAAAAGAAATGTACGTACCATACCAAACCGAATGGTCGGTCTGGTATTTGGGATCGGTACGAGGTAACTTTCCATACCGAAAAATCCTAACCGAATATATATACAAATATGTTATAAAAATATTAATATTTTTATATTTCTACATTCAATAATAGATTGATTTTGAAAAGTTAGTTCAAGTGTAGATGAATTGCAAAAGATCTTCTATTTAAATCATCATTTATTTGATTTTTAATTTTTTGGTAATGAATATAAAAAAGTTAATACACATTTGAAATATTATTTTGTTATCATTTGTTCTCTTTTTTTGTGAAATATGAATTATAAATTAAATTAAATTTTAAAAACACTCCTTGCATTTAATTATTCATTTTTTAATTTTTTATCTTTATTTATTTGATATATACTTTCAATTTTTTAAATTTAAGAGTTTTGTATGTTTTAAAGTGTAATATTTACCGAAACCAAAATTGAATCATCCTAAACCATACCAAACCGATGCTTCAGGATTGGTACGATGTGAAATCTCATACCGAACCAAAATATTTGGTACAATATCGATACGAATCAAATACCGTACCATACCATACCACGCTTACCCGTAACCCGTAATGTTTAGTGCAAAGTTTTTCTTTTGTTGGGAAATTAAAGTGATTGTAACGGTACAAAGTGTATCGTAAGTCCCCATGGAGACACTCTTTTTGAACATTTTAAAAGGAGTAAATTAATTTGGGATTAATAGCGGTAGAATATACTCCCTCCGTCCCCTTTTTTATTACAATATTCCCTCATCTATTTGTCCCAAAATAGATTACAAAAATTAAATTTGGTAACATTTACCCATAAATGTTACCAATATACCCCTCCCACATTCAGAACCGCCCGTCCCCTAATCTTCTCGAAACATCCGCCCTACCTTTTCGTCTCTATCTCATCTCCCCTCATTACTCTCCTCCATCTTCTACAATCTTCCTCTTCTCTCTTCCGTAAGTCTTCTGCAATGGCTCCAGATCCATCAATACCAACTTTTCATCTCTTATCACAGGAATCGCCTTCAAGATCTAGATCTAGATCTAGATCCCCTGATATCTCTGGAAACGAAAATACCAGCATACTTCCCTTTGAATCACCTTCATACACGTCTTAACAGACCCTACGTGGAGGTACAAAAAGAAGTACAATTATTTAGTTGTAGAAGACACGGAAGAGGGATTTTCGAGCGAAGAAGGGGAAGGGGAAGAGGTAACCTCTGTGTATGACCCGACCAAATTGACATGCGCTTGATATTTTTTCATGGATAACCCTCCAAAAAGACCTTCTTGACTAGAACCATGTGGTATGATTTCTCCTTTTATTTATTTCATGCGCATACCGGATAGTGGCAAGTTTTGTTGTGATTGATCTCTTCCCTCTATTGTCCATTACCGAGTATGTATTGTCCATTATGTAAACAATGACTTACTATTCATATTTGCTTTATTTAAACCAACTTTGAGCATTTCCCACGTGATGAGCAGAACATGAAATTAGAGGGTAGTTTGGGAAATTTTTTAGTGATTTGATTTATTATTAATATACACAAAAAGGGAATATTGTAATAAAAAAGGGGACGGAGGGAGTATACCGTTCCAAGCATACACATTTTGACAAGTACTAATAAGAAAGTGTTTCTGGCACTGATAAAGAATTAATTCAAAATTTTTTTGCTAGAGTCATAAAATTTACAAAATCTCAGTACTCTACTCAATTTATCTTTGCCAATTTACCAAAAAAATAGTCTAGAAATACTCCGAATTGAAGAACAACAACAACGAATATTAAGTCAACAAAATGTCTAAGGATCATGCATGTCGTCTCATGGCATGGCAATGACACTCTTAAATGAAAAGTCATGTCTTTAATCGTTAGTGAGGAAGATAACTTTGAGTTGTAATAAGTTGAGAATGTATGAAAAGTACCTAGTTTTAACTTTTATTTCAAGAGAAATTTCAAGATTAGAGTAAGAAGTTATGAAAATATCAAAATAAGAATTATATACCTTTTAAGACCAAAATTGGAGTTCACATTGACATTGTTATACTGTCACACTCACCACATTGTCACTTTAAAATTGTTACACTATCACTGCCACATTGTCTTCTGTCGCTGTCGTCACTAGTGTGCCATCGCCGATCATCAACGGCTAATTGATCACACATTCATATTACACTGTCATCAATTTTTTATGTGACTGGAACGCGTACCTTTATACCACACTGCCATTATACTCCTATGTTAGTCTTAAAAGACTTAAGACTCCTATATTTAGATACGTATTTTCATACTCCCTCCGTCCATGTTAATAATGATAAATGTAACGCCAAAAAATATTAAAGAATGACAATATATAATGTTATTTTAAAAATAAAAATATAAAACTTCTTATTTGTTTTAACATTTTACTCCCTCCGTCTCAGAAAGAATGCCACATTTACTATTCTGGCCTCTCGATAACTTTTGTTTGTTTACTCGTTTTGGTTGACTATTTGATAAAATAAAATATTCTTATCGCATCTTGTTTTGTAGAGCTTTTCATATACTTTTGAATGGTGTAATTTTTACTTTTTATTACTCTACCAATTTGAAATTAAAGTGATTTTAAAAGAGATGATATTTTGTACGTCGTTCGAAGTGTTGCAAATAAATTGTGACGGAGGGAGTGTGTTTTTTAAATCCGGATAATGTACTAATTAGATGGAGAATTTGCACAACCTAACACAATTGATGATGTTTATGACAAAGAAAACATTAAAACCAGACATAATAATTACATAGACTTAATATATAATCCAATAAAATACAACGTTAAACCCGCCCACCACCTACATGCATCAAATTCAGACCAAAAAGACAAGCATTTTTATTCCTTCCTTAATCAAGAATCATTGATGACACCAATACAGACACATTTCTCTCTCTCTCTCTCTTTTTCTCCCTCCAATAATTCGATCATCAGTACTGCAAAATGTCTGCAGAGGCAGGCGTCATAATGGGCTGGTTGGCCACCATGAAATTCCACGAGTTATTGTTCACGAAAAACCCATCGTTAAACACCGGAGGAGACTCGTTCTGCCCCAGGAAAACGCCGTCATTGTACGCGCTCTGTTCGCCGGGGAACCCAAACCCGCCGCCGCAGCTGTCCGGAGGAGGCGGAAGAGGATTATCCAAGAAATCCGCGATCTCATTCAGCGATTCCAGGCGGTGAGTCAACTCGGCCACCTGCGCCTTGAGGATGGAATTCTCGGCCTCGGCGTTGAGGTACCGCTGGGTGGAGGCGTTCATGTAGGACAAGATCTGGGCGTTCTCCTTCCTCAGCTGAGCCACCTGCGCCGTCAGATCGTCCAGGTGTTTCTGCTTCCGCATCCGCGACCTCCTCGCCGATTCCCGGTTCGATATCATCCTCTTCCTCTTCCTCTGGTCCATCACCTGCCGGAGATCCTCCTCCGACCCGGAATTGCTCTGCAGCACACTCGATCCCGGCGATGACGTGCCGCTGCACGCCGCCATCATCATCATCATCGCTCTGATCGACAACTACCACCACAAGCAAGAACCCGATTTCCAGAACGAACAGAGAAATATGGGTAATTAAAATATGGGTATTGTTTAACTAAATTAAATTTTTGGTTTTTTTTTTGGGGGATTTTATTTATATGTAGGAGGGTTGATTAATAATTTCGGATCAAGAAGGAAATAAATCATGAAATGTAGTAAAACCAGTAGAGGAAAACGACAGAGAAAGATTGCACCAAATGGGTTCTCCGCCTGTATGTGGAATTTATCATACAACCGGAAAGGAACAATTCACTGAGAATTGCAGACATGAAATTCGGCGATGAAATAAAACTGGTTGATCATCAAGATTCCCCGCTTTCTTAATTCCCCAGATTTTTAAAAATTTCCCCCCAGAAAAAAAAATCGAAACAGGGCTTTAATCAATTAGCAGAGCAGAGGGGAAAGATTCACTTGGATTCAATTCCCAAGAGAATCTTGTTTTTGTTGGGGGGGGGGAGAAAAAAAGGATCTGGAAGAAGAAATGATGATATGCTAAGCATGTGTTCAAGGAGATAACAGGAGAGGTAGAGGAAGGGGTGAGTATAGGTGTGGGGTTTTATAGGGGGGAAAGGGGGTGGAATTAGAAAGAGAGAAAATAAAAGTGGGAGGAAAAAGAGAAGAAGTTTATTTTGTGGGGGGGTGAGAGGAAAATTGAGAAAGTGGAGTACTTAAAAAAGAAATTCGGAATCTACTAAATGTGACAAAAGGGGGGTGGGGACATGTGGGGGTGGGGTCAGAAGCAACCACGACCGTCCAGAAGCAGATGGGAATCATCATCATCCATCACTATAGGCTTACTCAACTAATATTAAACAGTCATTCACACAAGTATTCTTCACTTGAAAGCCCTTAGGTTTATGCTTAATTGTAGACCTGCCCAACTTTATTTCACCCTTAAGATTATGTGGTATGTAGGGCTGTGCATTGTTCGGTCCAAACCCGGACCGACCCGAAGACCGGCCAAAACCGGACCGGACTGGTCCTAATTCGGTCTGGTCTCCGGTTCATCAATTTCCTTTATCCGGGTTCCGGTCCGGTCCGGTCCAAACCCGGTGAGACCGGTGGACCGATTATATATATAATATGGGCTTAATTATATGGGCTTTTGGGCTTAAGTTTTACCCCAAATAATCCACCTTAGCCCAGTCCAATTGAGTTCACTAATCCACATCTCCAGACTCCAGTAGCAAATCACCAAATCCACACATAATTGGGGTTCTCAACTTGCAGTCGCCATCTCACATTCTCGCTGAAGAAATCTTCTCAAAGGACACGCAGGTCAGTGAGGTCACGCACTCCCGCAGGCCGCAGCACTCCGATTCAGCGGAATCCTCCTAGTCTCCGAGTCTCTAGCAATTCGCAGTGTCGTCCACCGGTTCCCTAGGGCTCCCATCGCAATTCGCATGGCTCCAATCGTAATTCACAGCACTCCGTGTCTCCGTCCAGTCGTCCACCGGTTCCGCAGGTACGCACTCTGTCCAGTCGTCGGTCGCCCAATAGCAGCACTGGTTCACTCCGGCCAAACATTTTTTACATATTTTTTTACATTATTGATATTGAATTTATGGTATATTTAAATTATATAATTATTAGTCATTTTTAGTGATGAATAAAAAAACTAAGTCTTTCAAAGCCTTCTAAAAAAAATTATAGTAGCTTTTTTTAGTCCATTGATGAATTCTGTGTAGTTGAATGGAATCATAACCATATCAATTCCAGCATGGCAGCATTGACAGACTTTACTACTTTGAGTGTGGTTGTTTGTATTGACTATTGATTTTGGGATTTTTTTGGAACATTGGAGTATATTGTTTGGAGCATTGGAAAAATAGAGCATGCCCCTTATTCGGTCCTTATTCGGACCAGTCCAGACCGGTCCAATTTTATTCGGTCCGGACCGGTCCAATTTTATTCGGTCTGGTCCCAGTCCGGTCTCACACTATGTCGGTCCGGTCTACGGTCCGTTACTTCCCTCTTATTCGGTCCCGGTCCGGTCCGGGTTGGTTCGGGTTTAGACTGATGCACAGCCCTAGTGGTATGGTTGGGGTGATGGACTCACAATCTCATGTGGCATTGCCATGTTGCAAGGATACTTAGACCCGACAAGACAGACTCAAACCTGATAATTCGAATTGAATATTCTGGAATTGTATAAAAGACTCGATTTAGATTGAATCCGATTTAACTCAAATCGATTACGCCCGAATCGATTAAATTCGGAACCGATTAAACTCAACATCAATTTGATCCAAAACTGATTAGACCCAAAATCGATTCGACCTAATATTTAACAAATTCAAAACAAATTAAACTCAAATCCAATCAGACCTAATAGCTCATTGGTTGATGATGTCTTTTTGAAAAAAAGCATATTTAAATTATAAGTACAACTAATTTCATGTATAAATCTTTTATCTCATATTTTATCACTTAAACTAAGCTGGTTGTCTATTTTTATAGCGAGTACATATAATTTTTAATGACATTGTAACACACATTGATGGATATATTGACTCACTATTACTGACACATGTATATATACTCTATATACACGAGGATGTTGGAATGCACGGGTTCAACTCTTTTTGAACTGTTAAGTGTTGACTCATAGTTTTAATAATTAATAAACACAAGTTATTGAAATGAAGAATAAAGTGCTACATTGGCAAACACAAAGAATAGAAGTACCAAATCTCTTGAAGCTTTCAAGAATAAGCACGGGATTTAATGAAGACTAAGACGCCCAACGGAGCGCCTAATAGAAGTGAAGAAGAAGATTTCCAAGACTTTTAATTTATTTGAGTCTTAGGAAATATTGTAAGGATAACAAAAATATTCTTCACTCCAAAATTATCTTTACGAGAGTTAATATAAACATTATAGCTATTTTAGAATCAGTTGAAAAATTCTTTTATAACTGTTCAATAACATTGTTTTGAGTCAATTATAAAAATTGTGTCAACATTTCTTAAAATATATTTTTAAGATATAAAATTTTTTGTGGTGGAGAAAAAAATCTTTTAAATATTTTTCGTGTACATCGTTTGACACAAAATATTTTTGGGACTCATTTCTACACTCAAATATCCTCTCATTTATTCAAAATTTTATTTTGAATAATATTGAAGTTATGGGAGAGCCTTTGCCTGATGTTTGTGTCCCAAACAAGGCATTTAACTACAAAAATGTACATTATTATTATGAAAAATGTAACGCTACAACATTTTTTTTTAAAATCTAACAAAACAAAGTATCGACCTTAAAAGTTAAAAAATGATATGATGGATTATGAAATCCATGGGTAGAGGAAAAGGAAAAAATATATGAAGATTGAATGAAGAAGATGAATAGTGTTGTGTTGTGTATTGAGCCTCCTTCCTCCCCCCTCCTCCTCTAGGAAGAGGGGTATATATAATGGGACAGTTAGGGCTAGGGTTTCCATACAAAGACTAATGGGCCGGCCGAACAGGCTGGGTCGCTCCTAAATAAGTAAATAATATACGACTAACGGGCCGATCCAATATACTGGACCACCTCAACTAATATTATACAAAGACCGGATACCCCTGTCCAAGGTATCCATCATGAGTCCCCCACTTCCCGAGCCGAGAGGAACTCGAGGTGAAGTGGGAGTAGATCAATAATCCACCACGGAAGGACACCATCTTCCTTGTTGTCTAGAGTGTACCGCCAACTTGATGCCCTGAGCACGGTGAAGTAAGGCAAGCAACGCCATCAATCTGAAAATGTAATGCAACCTCGCTGTAAAGAAATTGCACCAATCTGTATCAGGTGCGCTGCCAACTCGCTGTCCAGAGTGGCAAAGTGAAAAGGTATGCACCAATGAGTACTAGGTGCACTGCCGACTCATTGTCCAAAGCGGCAAAGTGGAAAAATCTGCACCAATTTGCTCATTGTCTTGAAATGATCTCCTCTCGTACAAAGTACATCGTCATCTTCAAAGATCCTCCCACTTCCGTCAATGTGTGACTCACTCCATGAGGGATGCCTCATTAAAAACTTGACGAGGAAAAAACCCATGAGGATGGGAAAAAATCCTTAGTCAAGAAAAGAGTACATCTCGTCCCACAAGGTGAACCAAGAAAAATATCGTAAGGGTGTGAAGTCTTCTGTGTGAATCTCAGAAAAGGGATGTTCGCCATAATGTATTGCCAACGAATGCATGCCACACGGACTGTTGCGGTCTGATATAAGGTCAGAATGTCGATCGCCAAGCTCTCCTGATGTGATATGCAATAATTACGAGCCATGCCCCCGGAGTCCCCCACTCCCTAAGCCGAGGAAGAATTCCGAGGTGAAGGGGAGTAGTGTCCATGCTCGGCACCGGCGGGAGTCTCTAGCCCTCTCACGAGATGGCCGAGCCGAGCTTGAGTGCCTCACAAGGTGGCTGAAGTCGAGCTCTAGTGCCTCACGAGGTGGGGGCATGGGTGCCTCGTGAGGTGGCTGAGGCCGATCTTGGCCTTCTCATCCTTCTAACCTGCAAAATAAGTTCAAAAAAGAATACTAGGCGCTCGCGGGCTCGGGCGGACAAATCACCACGCGGCCGAGAAAGGTAAGTCAACGTATGAGTTGAGTCCAAAGTTTTGGACAAAAGATAGGCCTGATCAGCAGAGTGCGCCGATTGTAGAGTGGTCTGGACTAGAACAAACCTTGACATCATCCTTAGTGAGACCGGGGTCTTCAAATGAGAGCTACCCGGGTAAGTGAGATAGGCACAAATGATGCACCCTTGGCCCTAGATCCGAGAGAAAATAGTTCACGCCGTGAAAGACAGATAATTGTGCGTCGAGATGGACAGCTTACCTCGGCCTCGCGAATAATATCGTCGCGGACGATTTGGATTGCCTCGTGGGGAGGGCTTACCTCGGCCTCGTAGAAGAGGAAAAAAGATTGCGTCATGAGAGATGGATGGGAGTGCGTCGCAGTGGACGTCTTACCTCGACACTGAATAGTATTATTACAAATTCGGCCAGTAAATTTCATTTAGCTCTTCTGTCCTTCCTTCTAGATCTGACTGGGGGGATTAATTTTCTCTGTTACTGAACTGCGAGGACGTAGGAGCCGGATATGTTTGCATCAAGAGTTGGGAGATCGATTGCGGCCGGGAGACCATGGGTCGCCAACGAGGAAAGGGAATGGACTACGAATACTGGTTGAAGAAAAGGAACATGGTGTTTCTTCCCGGGCCGCTGCTGCCGGATATGTTTGCGTCAGTCGCCTCTGCTGCTGAAATGCGAGAACCATCCTGAAGAAATCCCCTTGGCCGAGAATTGGAGCAACAAGGTAGAGGAGTGGCAGAGAGGAATCATCTCCCTGGTTTCTTGCCAAATTACTCTTTGGAAAGAGTCTTTTGCAGTTCGTAATGGTGGAGTATATTGGAGTTTCAGTAGAAACTGAAAAGAGAAAAATATGAACAAATCGAATAATCAATGAACTGATAAAAATTTATGCTTGAATCTGTTAGACACTCTCAATGAGAGCACTATTGATGAATTATGAAATCAATCGGTAGAATAAAAAGAGAAAATGTATGAAGATTGATTGAAGAAGATGAATAGTATTGTGTTGTGTATTGAGCCTCCTTCCTCCCATTATCTCTAAGAAGAGAGGGGTTAGGGTTAGGGTTTCCATACAAAGACTAATGGGTCGGTCTAACAGGCTAGGTCGCCCCTAAATAAGTAAATAATGTACAACTAACGGGCTGATCCAACAGACTGGACCGCCTCAACTATTATTATACAAAGACTGGATACCTCCTATCCAGGGTATCCATCATGATAAAACATACTCTCTCCGTTCTCAAAAACACTTCCTCTTTCATTTTTTCTACTTCCAACAAAATACTTCCACTTTCTATTAAAAAATCACATTTACCCTTACTTTCTCATATCTTACCTATCACATCATAATTTTTCTTTAATAATCTATCTTTCACATCTTACTTTTACCCATCATATCAAGGAAAAAATTAGAAGTTAACTATAATTTAACACTTCTTTATTTTGGCTCCAAGTCTATGAAGCCTTTTTGCAAACGAAGGGAGTATAACATTTTCTAATCAAAATTCTACTCTACACACTTGAAAATTAACATGTCAAAGTCTTATTTAAATTAGAATATTTTAAAAAAAAATTGAGGTATACAATATTTTGAATGATATTATAAAGACTACCAAAGACATCTAAAACTAAAATTCTCAACCATACTTTTAGTCTCACTCATGAAATAACAATGTTAAATAAATCATAAGTGAATATTAAATTGGTAAAAAATATTCCATAAATGATAATGTTTAGCCCTAACTTTAATTAATAATACCTATCATAAGAAGTATAAATTATTTGAAATTATATTTTTCACTGTAGAGCTGTCAATGGATAATCAAAAATCTGATTGCCGTCTCCATCCGTGTTCATTTAAACGAGAATAAGCTGCATCTGTTTTAAACATATATTATCCATATCCGATTAAGAATATTCGATTACTAGATGGATACAATTTAGGTAATTGTATATCTGATCCGTTTAAAATCTGATCCGGGTATACATTAGTTTAAATAACCATTTTTCCAAATATTAATTTATTCGAGTGCCGAATAAAAATTATTTTAATAAATATATTCCTCTACCCAGCCCATTATTTTAATAAATATAATCCTCTTACCATTGTTTTCACAAAGTACTTAGTCAATTATGAATTTATATTTTTGTTCGAATCATTTGTTTTGGTTAAATACTAGAATGATGCTAGGGGTACACCTTTGGTGTACTCCAAATGTTCCCCACCCCCTTCATAACCATACATTTCTATTTTATTTTTATTTACTTATTTTTTTAAGAGGAATGCTAGGGGTACCCCATTTTGTACACCATGCATCCTAGCCATTCATTTATTTTTTTATTTTTAATTTTTTTTCTCTCTTGCTTTGTGTGATGGAGATGGAGGGGGTACAAATGGGGTACCCCAAATGGTGTACCCCTAGCATTTTTGTTTTTTTAATTTTCTTGCCTTTTTTGTGGACAAGGAGGGTGTGGGGGACATTTGGGGTACACCTTGTACCCCTAGCATTGTCCTAAATACTAACAATTTAGATTGTAGTTTTTTTATGTATTTAACGTTGTTTCGTATTATGGATTTCGATATTCACTTTTAGATTCCTTTTATAATCATTTGGTAATGTTCTGAAGTACGAATCAGACGTTGAACCGAACTAGCAGCTGGCCAACTAGGTCATGGGTCAACCGACCTATAGCTTGGTATAAAATATTCATATTTATGTCTAAATAAGAAAAGTTTGCCAAATTTTTTGAACTACTTTTAAATATGATAAAGTATTATCACATAACATAATTATGCCTATAATTATAAAAAATACAAAGTTTATTTAAAGAAAAATACAAAGTATGTATGTGTGTGTGTCTATATATATATATATATATATATATATATATAAAATATAATATTATATATATATATATATATATATATATATATGGAGCGTCTAAAATGACACCAATTCGTTTGGGGTACCTACGGTGCTCCATTTGTAAAAATGATGGTTCCTACCCCCCATAACCCTCCCCATAAACCTCCCACTCCAGCCCCACCCCTTGCCCCCCACCCCAGCCCCACCATATATGCATGTTCTTTTTTTAAAAACTTTTTTATGATATAATTAACAATTGAAATATTTGCACTAAATAGCACTAAAACTGAAGTCATTTCCCTAAATAGGAGTTAAACTGTTTTATTCCCTAAATAGTACTTAATAATGTCCCATGTTGGCGAATATTTGTTGAAATAATGAGTAATGCATAATGACTAAAAGTGCTACATTGAGAAGAAAAACACACGTGGTGCTATTCAGGGACAGTCATTATGTTTTAGTACTATTCCTATTTGTCTATTAATCTAAAAAGTATATAGTGTTTTCAAAAAGGTCTTTAAACAGTTCGGAAAGGCGCACTGATGAAGAAATAATCAGGCTCGTCCAATAGGGTGTGCAAGAGGTGCTATTGCACGGGGCCTCAAAAATTACGGAGCCCATATTTATACCATAAGCTCATTAATTTATCTCATTCCAATATCTTCTAAACGCCTTCTTCAATTAAGTTATCCGTAGTAGTTTTCGGTTGATTCTTTGACTTCTTCAATTGATTTCAAGGCCGATGTTAATAATGTTTCATTTTATCTAATGTATGTTGCATGCATCTAATTATTTGTTTTTATTTTTGGTGTATTAAGAACTGATTTCTTCTGTTATTCTGTTTTTTGCATCTTTGGATGTTCTTAACAATTGATCTATTTTGTAATTTTTGTTTCATTTCATATCTCAATTTTAAAGACTTTGTATTTCACTTTTAACAATTTGATTTAGAAATTTATTTTCTCATTGTAAATAAATTGTTTATTATTTTGTTTCTTCAATTCTAAACTTGCAAGTTAACTTATGACTCTACTTTTGTTTTATTTTTTCAGTGTTATTCAACAAAGAGGTTGTAGAATTCAACAACTATTTTTTAATTTGTATTGCACGCTTGTATAATGTACTATTCTTAGATTTTATCGCTCACTAGACAAAAAAATGATGCTTATTTCTCTCTTCATTCAAAATTTATATTTTCATTCGTTATTCACATGGTCAAATTATATTAACAATATTGGCTTATTTTCGTGTCCAAGACCTCGATCAATCTCATAAATTATTACTAGGAAAGAATTTAAAAAGACTGGAGACACCACGAAGAACCACCGGGCTGGGGTGTCCAAGACGCCGATGTCATGTGTGGATGTCAAAGGACGCACTGTGGACCTGAGCTGGGGGCGCAGGGAGCAAGGGGTAGAGTGGGCAGGAGTTATTGGACCGATGCATCACGGTTGCCGTCCGAAGATCCTTCACAGAAAAACCATATGCGTGGGGCTGTGGTGAAAGCGAGATGAGGGGGATTGGAGGAGGAGGAGGAGATTGAATTTTCTGTATTTTTGTCGGAGGAAGCCATATGGAGGGAGGTGGTGGGGTTTTTACGACGTGGGGCTGTGCTGTTGCCGAGGACAGTACGCTGAGAGAGAGAGGAGGGCGGCAGCGGCTGTGCGGCTGGAGGAGGGCACACCGAGAGAGAGGGGGAGAGGAGGTAGGGTTAGGGTTTTTGGTTTGAGAATTATGGTTCCGATACCATGAAGAATTATGATTTTCCCTAAATCATAAAGTGGGAGTACATGAGTTTATATATACAACCTTTTCCTAATCCTAATCATGGTAGGATTCTACAATAGGAAACAATATTTGTACACTTAATATAGAATATATATTTAACATAAATGTAGAATATATATAACAACCAATTCTGAGAACTATCTCGAAACTACCAAGAAACTAGACTGTGACCATACCATGACCATCAGTGCTGGTATCTCCCCTACAGTATCGGGAAGTAGCGATTTCAGAATCAGAACATACCCGAACTAATACCGTGTGAATGTCTAAGACTCTAAGGCCATGTTTAATGGGGGCTTGACCACTGCACCTATCACTTGAATGTGTGTAATGGGAAGAGACTTGACCAATTTTTTAAATATTATTTATCTTGTAGATAACTTTTCCTAGAAAAAACTAAGAAAAAGAATCTGAAGTAATTTGAAATATAATATTACGTAAATTAAAAATGCTACAATACAAATTTGAAAAAGTAAAGTAAAAATTTAATAATATATGGAGTAATACATAGGAAAAAAAATATTATTATTAGTTTATGACTCTATTCTTCTAAACATGTTTAACCAAATCTTCTTTGAGCATGTTAATTATGTATTTCCCTACTTCGGATCTTGTTGTATATCACAATTCTTTCATCGTTGAAAAGTTGTATGTCTGAGACGTCTATGTCCTCATTATTTTGGCAAATGGTTTTTTTCTTTTTCTTCTAAAATCACGGGTAATACCACATGTTAAGTTGAGAATGGAAACAGCTCAAAAGAATTGATCGTACTATTCGTAGCAATAAGATGCATCTTTTTTTTGAGAGCTTGTTACTTAAAACTCCAAAGTAATGTGTGCTAGACTTGGAACAACTTTAGGATGGGTGGCCCCCTAGGAAATTCCTTAAGTTCGCACAAGTGAGGACAAAGTGTGCGAGAAAGACTTGTGGTGGTCTGTGGGGCCAATCTACAATCCTATGAGCAGATAATTTCGGTCACTGCGGGGGCAAGCTGTTACAACTTACAAATGGTATTAGAGCAATCCTGCGACCGTGACAGGCCGAAGAACTTAGTTCACCTAGAGGGAAAGATCTATGGGATTGAAGAATGATTCAACGAGGACGTTGCATTCCTAAGTGGGTGAATATAACACCCTACGTTAAGATGAGAATGGAAAGAGATAAAAAATATTGATACTACTCTAACCATACCAACAAGATGTATCTTCTTTTCAAGAGCTCATCACTTAGAAACTCCAAAGTTAAACACGCTAGACTTGGAGAAATTCTAGAATGGGTGACCCCTGGGAAGTCCCTTGAGCATTCACGAGTGAGGACAAAGTGCGCGGGAAAGACCTATGTTGGTTTGTGGGGATAGTCTTCAATTCTATGAGCAGACACTTTCGGCTAGGGGTGGAGGCCAGGGTGTTACACATGCTGCGCAGAATTATGCAATTCTAAATAACATCCCTAATTTTATTTTTCAATTCCCACATGGGAGAAGAGAACAAACCTTAAGTTTTACCGTGTTTCTAGACTTTCTAATCATAAATCATAATCACCCAATACCATTTCAAAATTTCAACTTAAGTTTCACCGAACATCAAAAGGAGACGAGAATCCTTTCCCTTTCTCTCCCACGCGGTCCAAGATGATGAAGAATCGCTAGAAACAACCAAATTGTTTCATCTTTTGAGGATTAATTTAATCTCTTTAAAAAGGGTCATGTCTCTGGCTCTGATGAGCGCCCATACCCACGCCACATGTTCGACAGCTCAAATTCAATCTCCTCTATCCTGTCCCTAGTCTTTGTCTTTTTCCACTCCTCTATCATTCGACCCATATTCACAGTACTACGTCTTTAAACCGTTTTATACGACAATCTTGTTCTGCTTTTCACCCTTTTCTCCTTTTCCTTTTCCCCCCTGTGCTTTGATCCAGATTCATTTATTGCCGTCCGATCAACATCGTTACTCCCAAAGCTGAGTTCTTTTAGGCTCTAGCTCTGCACCCTGTCTACCCCCTACTGAATCTTTGTCCCGTTCTTCGTCTGACAGATTCTTTTATTTACCCCAGTTCACATTCATCCTCTTCTTGATTCCGGGTTTAAGCTCATCAGATCCGATTTCTCTTGTCAATTCTGTGACTAGCGGCGGCCATGTCTGGACCTCTGGATCGGCTTGCAAGGCCATGTGAGTTCTTGTTTCTTGATTTTTTTTGGCAACTTTGTGTTGCGTGGTCGATAGATGCGTAGTTTTATTTATTTATAACAAGATCTTCTCTGCTGAAATTAGGGTTGGTAGGGAAGAAGTTAGTAGTTTTGTTGATTGTGAGTGGACACAGTTTTGTAGGAAGTATTAATCTTTCTTGGAACATTCATTGGTTTTGGAAATCACAGAATTATGGGTTAATGGCGTTTAGAGTCGAAAACCGGGTGCTTCGAAATCAACAGTGAGAATATGATTAGTTTTTCAGCTCATGTATGAACATGCGTAACAGCTGCCTTCAGGATGTTACTTCTTAGTTTCCCCTCTAGATTTTATGTTGACCAGTAAATGTGTTGATCTGCAACAATGTGCTTTTAGATAGCTATAGGAGGGAGGTAATGGAAGTAAATGGTTCCTTGTGAATTTGTGATAGGCTTTGAGGGATCTTCTGGAAGCGAAGAGAGAAGAGAAAGAAGATCTGATGTTGAGAACTCCGAGGATGACAGGAAAACAAGAATTGGCTCTCTGAAGAAGAAAGCGCTGCATGCATCAACAAAGTTCAAACACTCTCTCAAGAAAAAAAGCAGCAGAAGAAAGAGCGATGGGCGCGTCAGCTCGGTATCAATTGAAGATATTCGAGATGCCGATGAACTGCAGGCCGTTGATGCATTTAGGCAAGCACTAATTCTGGACGAATTGCTCCCAGTACAGCATGATGATTATTACATGATGTTGAGGTAGTATACCATCCATTAACTAAACTGTGTAAATTTATGCACTTTTGTTTTTTACTAGAGCGGATTTACCATTCTCCCTTACTGAGTAACTCACTACTTCACTAATTGTGCTGAGATTGTAGCATCATGTGTTGGGTAGTTGAATTTTTATTTCTTTCTTAGAATCTTTTTATGGATTAGGTTCCTTTGTAAATTGCAGCCTCAGATAATCGCTACTATGGATATATTACTTACCAATATAAATATGGATGAGTAGATATGGTACTTGAAAGATGAATTGGGTTCCTTTTAAATTAGAGCCTCAGGGCCCTCAGATAACAGCCGTCATCATCTATTTATTTGCAATAGAAACATGGATTAGTTGATATGGTACTTGAAACAAATGTAGGAAAGAACACAAACGTGGTAGAAATGTATTTCATAATAAAACAATGTAGAAATGTATATACTCTAATTTTCCTTGGTTTCTTCAGGTTTTTGAAAGCAAGGAAGTTTGACAGTGAGAAAGCAAAGAGTATGTGGGCTGATATGATTCATTGGAGGAAGGGATTTGGTGCTGATAATATCATCCAGGTAGAAGGCTTCATACTGTTTGAGATGTTCGCTCTACACTAATTATAGTAATTATCATTATCATTTAACTTTGCTTGAAATTTCCATGGGATGATTTTCATCAGGAGTTTGAGTTCAAAGAGCTGAATGAAGTTCTGAACTATTATCCTCAAGGTTACCATGGTATTGATAAGGAGGGAAGGCCAGTATACATTGAAAGATTAGGGAAAGTTGATCCTACCAAACTCATGCAAGTCACAACTCTAGACCGTTACGTAAAATATCATGTACGAGAGTTTGAGAAGTGTTTTGCCATTAAGTTTCCTGCTTGTACAATTGCTGCAAGAAGACACATTGATTCCAGCACTACCATTTTGGATGTTCAAGGGGTGGTAAGTTGCATATGGTTTCTTCTTTTTCACCCCACT